ACAGTAGGTGACAGCGGTCCGCTCTGTTCTACACCATGGCCCCCAAAAAAACTGTCCCCACCAAGCATCAATCTACATCTAGCATTGTTAGTGAGGCACATAAAGTAATATATGAAGGTGTTTCAGAGGATTCCACGGCTGTTATGAAGCACATGACTGAACTTTTTAATAGACTAGATACACGTCTTACCCACATTGAAAACCAAGTCATAAAGATTGATCAAGTCCAGAAGGATGTGACCTCGTTGACCTCTAAAGTCCATCAGTTAGATCATGAGGTGAAGAATATTGACGTTAAGTACAGGGAAATTCGCAATTCTGTGTCCAATGTTATCAGGCAGTCCAATGAAATGGAAAAGGGTGCCCAGGCCCTGAGTGATATGTATGACGATGTGAAGTCTTGTCTGGATCGAAACAACATTACTCTGGCCAATCTCAAAGCTGCTGATGACAAGAATGTAGTTGACACCACAAAAGTCATAGAAGAATTAACAGAGCTCCGTTCCGAGAGAACTAAGCTGAAGGATCTTGTCATAGACCTGCAATACAGGTCCATGAAGAACAACCTCATATTCCATGGACTACAAGGGGAAAATCCAGGGGAGGACACTGAGGCCAAACTGCGTGATTTCCTTTATTACGAGCTCGGGATTGACTCACACATAGATTTTGGGAATGTACATCGTTTTGGCAAGTTTGTGAACGGCAAGCATCGACCCATAGTGGCTAGATTTATTCACCACAAGGACCTAGAACTTGTTCGAGACAGTTCTTCGAAACTGAAGGGTTCTGGATTTTGGATCAACGAACAATTTCCAGCGGAAATCGAGGACAGACGTCGCAAGTTGTACCCTGTGCTTAAGCACTACAGAAGTGAAGGCTGTAGGGTTAAGTTGGTACGTGATCGGCTCTACGTTAATGGTAAGCTCTACCATGACGCCTCCTCGGAGGGCGTTACAGAGACAGTAGCTACATCTCGATCCACACAGAGAGAAGCTACCCAGCAGTCCTACCGTGATGCTTTGGACCGGACGCCGACTTCTGGTCAACGCCATTCCAAGCGTCAACGTCGATTCACAGCTACGCCTACGCACTCGCCTACATAGGGGTGTCGGGGGGCAACAATCAACGACAGTACCAAGTGTGACCGGGCGAAACATGTGTCTGATACCGATATCAGAATTATTTCCTGGAACGTAAATGGTGGAATAGAAAAAAAACTTAAAGTTACTGAATTCCGCAATGTTATACTTAACTATGATATTATTTTTTTATCCGAGTGCTGGATTCCAAAAGACTTTGAGGTAGACCTTGAGGACTTTCACGCAGTTGTTGTACCAAGGAAATTAACACGCTGTACACAAGGTGGTGGATTGGTGTTACTAATACGTAATACTATTTTTAAATTTGTAAATGTAGGTAATGTTTTGTTTGATACAATTATACCGGTTACTCTTGACCAGGATTTGACCAGTTGTACTGACAACCTAATACTGTTATTTACATATATTCCACCTAGTTCATCTCGTTTTTATGAACAATATGATTGTGATATTTTTTCAATTCTAGAAAACGTTATAAGTGAATATTCTGAATCCAGAAATGTAATGGTTATAGGTGATTTAAACAGTCGTACCCGTAATACAGATGATTTTATTTCATTCGACAATTTATATGGCGGTATACAGTCTCATATTGAATCCATTTTTAACTACTTAAGTGACACTGATGAAGAAAGGCTTCTGCCGATCAGAACAAACCCTGATCCAGGAGTCAACGAATTTGGTACAAGATTATTAAACCTATGTAAATCCTCGGGTCTAAGAATTTTAAATGGTAGAGACCTAGCCAATCTATCTAGTGATTTTACTTTCTGTGGTGCAAATGGAATGAGTGTTATTGATTATGTATTAATGCCATTTAGTATGTTTTCTGTTGTTAAAAAATTCATGGTTTGCGAATTTGTTGAATTTTCCGACCATGCTCCATTGCACATTGAAATACACTGTAATTTAGGAGGTGGTGATGAG